TGTAGGGAATTCAAAAACTAGTAGACCCTGTTGTTGCTTAGCAGTGCCAATTGTCCTCAATGTTTTAAGGTCCTGCAAAACAAAACAGTTAGACTCCATAGTAAATCTAAATGGGTTATTATTGATTAAAGTGAGCAGTGACAAAAGATTGAATCTAAACATAGGTATATAAAGCATATTATGCAAAAAGATATCATCATTTATCTTGATACTACCTACCCTTCTACATTTACTTTAGTGGAATTGCGCAATAAAACATGAGAATTATGGATAGGAGTGTATGAGTTGTATAGTTGTTTGGAACAACAAATGTGAGAAGTGGCACTAGAGTCTATTATCCATGTGTGAGAATTCTCGTGGAGATCAGGATTCATACAGGTACCTATGACATTAGAAGCCACTGTGTCCATATTAGTGTCTGTTTTCATTTGGTTTTTCAGAAATGTAAGCAACTGTTGGCACTAGGCAGTGGTTAAATTTGATGTCTGAGTAGTGGTGGAACTTGCAGGGCTGTTATCCACTTGATTCACAATATTGGTCTAGTCCTGTCCTTGAAATAATTTTTAATTGTTTTTATTTGACCGGATACGACTTCGATCATATAGCAAATTTTAGGTCGAGAAATTGTTAAATACAATAATCTTCCCACGAGCTTTCTATATGATCCTTGACCTACAAGTGGAGAACCCGAGTCTGTATGCAATTTCAAATTTGCTTCCATAGGTACAGCTGAAGGTTTGCAAGCAAGCATACCACAATATTCAAGAATAAACATTGTATAATGTCTTTGACACATGAATATTCCTGCTTGTGACTTTGACAGTTCCAAACCAAGGAAAAATTTCAAATCGCCTAGATCTTTCAATTTAAAATGATCATGTAGCATGATCTTAGCAGATTTGATTTCAATGTTACTTGGGCTGGCAATTACTATGTCATCGACATAGACAAGAATGGCTATGAATGTCGAGTTGGATCCCTTAGTGAACAATGTGTAATCAAACTTTGATTGTTTGAAACCTTGAGAAATTAGAGTGGAGCTAAATTTGGAAAACCAGCTTCTAGATGCCTATTTCAAGCCATATATTGACCTATTTAATTTGCATACTAAAGGGGTTGCGGATGTGGGAATGGTGTTATGGCTGTATTCTGGAGGGACATAAAAATTTTCTCGTCTAAATTGTCATTGAGAAAAGCATTGTTAACATCTAGTTGAGCTAGATTCCAATGTTGGGATGCAGCAAGTGATAAGAGTAGCCTCAAGGTCATGATCTTGGCCACAGGTGAAAACGTCTCTTGGAAATCAAGACCATATTGTTGAGTGAAGCCTCGTGCTACCAGCCTAGCCTTGTGTTTGGCTATAGTTCCATTAGAGTTGAGTTTTAACTTGAACAACCACTTGCAACTTATTTGCTTTATACCATTTGACAGATGAGTGATGGACCATGTCTTGTTCATCTCCATGGCAGCGAGTTCATCTTCTATAGCTTTCTTCCAATGAGGGAATTTGATGGCTTGTTTATAGGTTTGAGGTTCATGATTAGCGAAAATTTGGCAGATGTAATGGGTGTGTCTTTGTGGATAGCTTTGAGTAATCTATGAATTTTTGGATAGGCTATAAATTTTGTGTGTTAGTGGTTACATTGTAGCAATGATAATCAGATAAGTATATTGGTGGATTAATAGCTCTACTAGATCTGCGAATTGGAGTTGGATTTGGTTCATTTCGGGAAGGCAAATGTTGTATGGTAGACTGGTTTTGTGTATGTGTGGGTTGTATAGGATCAGAATCATCAAAGATTGCAGGATGGATAAGATTGGGTGTGATTTGGTCATTGAAGGCATCATGTACATGGTCAGAGGAGTTGCTGTTTTGGAAAGGGAATATATGCTCATAAAACTTAACATCTCTAGAGATGAAAGTTTGATGAGTGGTCAGGTCAAACAACTTATATCCTTTGTAGCCATGAGGGTATCCGATGAATGTAGCTGCAATAGCCCTGGGCTAAATTTGTGTCTACCAGAAAGTAATGTAGAGGCATAGCACAATGTGCCAAAAGTCCTGAAATCAGAATAGTTAGGCACTTTGTTATATAAGATTTCATATGCGGATATGTGATTCAGAATAGGACTGGGAGTTCTATTCATGATAAACACAACAATTTTAACACAATCTCCCCATATTTTTATAGGAACATTTGATTGAAACATCAAAGTGCTTGCAATATTAAGAATATGCAAATGTTTTCTCTCAACAACACTATTTTGTTCCGGTCTTTCTACACATGAAAATTGGTGTAAAACACCTTTTTCTAAGAAAAAAAATCTTTGAAATGAAGTTCTCTCGCATTATCAAACCTAAAGCTTTTAATTTTTGTTTGAAATTGGTTTTCAACATATGCATAGAATTGAGGTATAATTTTAATACAATCAGACTTATTCTGGAGCATGTATATCCATGTGAATTTACTTTTATCATCAACTAGAGTTAGAAAATATTGAAATCCATCATAAGTAGGTTGTTTAAAGGGTCCCCATATATCAGCATGAATTAAATCAAAACAATTGAGACTAAATTCATTAGGATTAGGAAAAGGTAATCTATTTTTCTTAGCAGTGTTACAAGTACTATAATGATAAGTAGAATCAATAGAACTCAGTTTGATTTTATTGGCAATCAATCTGTAAACAAATACAGGTATGTGACCTAATCTCTTATGCCAAGTCTCATAGGTGACACTATTACAATTACTAATACAATCAGAATTAAATGTAGGGAATTCAAAAACTAGTAGACCCTGTTGTTGCTTAGCAGTGCCAATTGTCCTCAATGTTTTAAGGTCCTGCAAAACAAAACAGTTAGACTCCATAGTAAATCTAAATGGGTTATTATTGATTAAAGTGAGCAGTGACAAAAGATTGAATCTAAACATAGGTATATAAAGCATATTATGCAAAAAGATATCATCATTTATCTTGATACTACCTACCCTTCTACATTTACTTTAGTGGAATTGCGCAATAAAACATGAGAATTATGGATAGGAGTGTATGAGTTGTATAGTTGTTTGGAACAACAAATGTGAGAAGTGGCACTAGAGTCTATTATCCATGTGTGAGAATTCTCGTGGAGATCAGGATTCATACAGGTACCTATGACATTAGAAGCCACTGTGTCCATATTAGTGTCTGTTTTCATTTGGTTTTTCAGAAATGTAAGCAACTGTTGGCACTAGGCAGTGGTTAAATTTGATGTCTGAGTAGTGGTGGAACTTGCAGGGCTGTTATCCACTTGATTCACAATATTGGTCTAGTCCTGTCCTTGAAATAATTTGGGGGGTACCCGACAAGTTTATAGCACTTGTCTTTGGTATGTCCCAACATTGCACAATGACCACATTTTGGTCTCTCTTTCTTTGCAAATTGTTCTTACTACTATCAAATTGATGTTTTTGTGAAGAATTAACAAAAAAGGCTATGTTTTCTAAGTTAGCAGTAGAAGGAGTAACAATAATTTCACGTTGAGCTTCTTCTTGGAGAATAAGGGAGAAGACATTACCAATCGAAGGCAAAGGGTCAGATAGCAGAATTTGGCCACGGGTTTGAGAGAAAGAATCATTTATGCCCATCAAGAAGGACATGACATATTCAAATTCTGTGTGTGTTTGGAGTTGTTAAAGGCAACCACATGTACAGGGGAATGTTGGTTTGTAACCGGACAATTCCTCCCAAACTGACTTCAGCTTTGTATAATACGTGCCAACATCATCAGGTCCTTACTGAAGAGACATCAATTGGCCCCGAAGTTGGAAAATACGTGGTCCATTCTTTCTTGAGAATCTGGTTTTCAAGTCTTCCCAAATTTCACTACTAGAAAAATTAAAATTAGAGAGGGAACAAA